GGGATGCTGAGTAAAAAGTGTATTCTTTGGTGCTTGGGTGGAATATTCTGTAGATGTCTGTTAGGTCATTTGATGTATGGTATCATTTACTTCAGACATCTCTCTCTGTTTATTTTCTGACCAGTTGACCTGTCTATTGAAGATAATGGGGTATTAAAGTCACCTACTATTACTAAGTTGGCATTAATCTCTGTTTTATAGTCCTGGAATACTGTTTTTATGAAATTGGGTGCTCCAGAGTTTGGTGCATGTATATTCATGATTATAATATCTTCTTGGTCAATTATTCCTTTGATTAGAATGAAGTAATCCTCTCTGTCTCTCCTGATTGGTTTTAACTTGAAAACTGTTTTGCCAGATATTAGAATTGCAACCCCTGCTTGTTTCTTAGAGCCATTTTCTTGAAATATTTTCCCCTCCTTTCACCCTAAGGTAGTGTCTATCCTTGAAGGTGAGATGAATTCCTTGAAGACAACAACAACAACAAAAAAGAGTTTTCTTTCTTGATCCATTCCACTAGTTTGTGTCTTTTGATAGGGGAGTTGAGGCCACTGATATTTAGTGTTATTATTGATAGATGTGTATTAGATACTCTTATTTTAATTTCTTTTGTGTTTCTGTTATTAGACCTTTCTTTGTTTTCTTTCTGTAGCCTCTTGGGTATACTCATTCCTTTCTTCAGCACTTTGTATTTCTTCTAGTATTCTCTGGAGTGCTGGTTTGGTAGACATGAATTCTTTCAGCTCACTCATGTTGTGAAAATTTTTCTGTTCCCCTTTGACCATGTTTCAGGTTTTTGCAGGATAGTAGACTGGTTTGGGTGGATGGTGGAACAGGGTAGTAAGTAGGCCATTTAGGTTTGTAGGAGGGATGGCCTGTGTCAGACAAATCAGGAGCCAGTGGAGTCTATGCTAGGGAGTTTAGCTAGTTTGAGTTAGGAAGCTAGTCCAGGGATCTGAGGTGGAAAAATTGGAGCCTGCCTGTGTCCAAGGCTGGCAGGGCACAGGGTATATATATATATAT